ACCTAGATCTACAAATAAACATTTCTTAAAAATTTAAATAAGCTTTCCTCGTCAGAGAATCGACTTAATGTGCTCACATGGTCTGAACACTACCGTTGTTCAGCTGGCTAGTCTCTATTGTGGACAGTGCCATCAAAATGTGAAATAAATGCTCGATCTGACATTTACTTCTATTTGAATGTTTCCGTTCTTTTCGATCAGTGATTTCACAGAGCCAGACTTTGCCAAAAGCGCTTGCGGAGTTTCGAAACAGTAAAACCGGAACGTCATCCCCTTCTGGTGAATTTTGTAATATAATATTTCGAAAAATCAATTTTTCTTCAATAGATGTACAACGTCGTTGAACTGGCTAATCAGCTGTATTTCAGATGCGTCGTATGTGAAGAATTGAGACAAAACGTGAATTGCTTCAGAAGCCACACTTTCGATGTAAAAGCGATATCATGGTATACCCAAAGTTGTGGTCGTCTGGGCTGCATGTTGTTTATATGATGTTCAGCAATTGAATGGCGACCACTGGCCACGCATACCAACAATTATATTCTTTTCTCCTTGTTTGAACAGGCTTCATTTGATGGTTTCGGTCGTGGGCCCATGGACTGAACCGCAAGTGTTTTGTTAAAGAAACCAGCCGTCAACCAGACCTCAACAGAACACTTACATGTCGAAACTCTCCATCTTTTGCAAGACATTACTTTAGACGTGACTCAATAAGTTCCTTGTAATACAATGTCCTGGGTTCTCGAACGAAAGCTTTCATCAGAGATGCTTCACAAATGAGATTCAGGGATTCATTCAAATATTTTGTAACGCACCTGCGATGATTTTTATGTTGAATGCCAAAATATATGGTTTAAAGGAATGAAATAAGAAAGGGAAGTTGGTCACCGTTGGAATATCGGTTTTGATTGATGATTTGAACATCTTATCACCATTTTTTGGTGAAGTTGATAGTGCGGTCCTGATCTCTATTTCTACATCATCAGCCAGGAGTACCTCTTTTTTCAGGCAGAGTCCACAATCATGTGGCAAGCGTAGCGTGTAGTTTCCCATTATCCCTTAGCGAATGGTATTCATTTATCAACGTCGTCAAAGGGAAGTGCGAGTAAACCTGACCAGGGATGTAACTCTGGATCTATTGATTTTGAGTCTGATGCCCTTCATGTTGTGCAACCCCAGTCTGAAG